TTTTTTTTTTATTTGGGGGGGATGGGGGGGGGAGGTGCAAAACGGACCACCAGAATTATGGTCTCTAATAGGTGGTAACTTACTAGTTAGTAAATAGCAATGAGATATACGAACTTATGTGCCAAAGTAAATTGCACATCTTAGCTCTTTTTTTCAAAGATACTCGTTGTTGGCAGCGCTTCACTGACCAAAGCTTTATCACGATACTCTGAATACTTACCCTAACATCAAGGTGTTAACCCCGTGAATGGACCAGTATGCCCATGACATTGTTCAGTTCAATCGTTCACATATCTTACCGCAATAACTGTCAGGTAGAATCTCTCTTGTTGAAGAAAATCGTCAAAGAAGAACGGACTGCCATCACTGCCGTGGACATCTATTGGGGTCAGGAAATGGATCACTGAGTATCCACGCAGATGCAAAATACTAAGTTTTTTTCGGACAAATGATGTACTGGGGGCAATTTAAGTCCCCCCAAATTAATGTTCACATCCTAAAATTCATAACACAAAGCGTGTATTATTCTCTCGTGGTCGTCGCGACCAGAGTAAGATAGGCAAATGATATTTTCAGGAGCAGATGACACCTGTCTCTGTCTACTCAAACTGCGTGTTGTCCACCCAAATTTTGTTCACAAAAAGGCCTCTGGTTTGTTATTTTGATTGATTTTATACAGAACTTTTGTAAGACGTTTGGACGAGGGTTAGTTATGCTCGTTTTGCATTGCGTTCTTCTATAGTGTAAACGTGGCGAAAAAAAGGTTGTCAATCAACCTTGCTATTCAAGTATTTTTATTTCAAATGCCACATTTAGGCGAATGAAGAATAACACATAGAGATATGGGAATAGTGGAACGTTATTCAACGTGTATCTTGAACAAAAATCGATTTTAGGCACGTTTTTTGATTTTTTGATCAACATGATATAAATAACTGATCTCCAATTTCCCTCTCTCTGTGTCTCAGTCATATCTGCTTTATTTTTCATCTCATATTGATTTCCAGCGTCGGCATTATTATGTGTGTACATCCCAAGGAAGACATTGGAAGAAGAGTAAAAGTCCAACTAACGGTTTCCTAAATTATTGGCTTTAGATGTACTAGGGGTATGCCAACAGGAACTGATCCTATAAAGAGGCCAGAATCCTAATACATCTGATCAAATTCATAGCAACCAATTCAATTTGGTTATATCTAACTGATTATAAGCAATATATTGTAACCGATTATCACCAAGTCTTGGTCACGGCATAGTTTACAGTACTGTTCTCAATTATTTGGGTTATTATTTTGATTTTACCGTCAATTAATTTAACTAGATTAGGAAAATCATTTGAGATTAACATAAATAAAATCTGTCTTAATTGACCAAGCATCAATCGACTTATATATTGTATTTGCTACTTATCTCTTCAATTGTTGGTTGAATTACTGGGATGGAGGAAATATAAAATGATAGGGTCAGTTCCTGCTGCCATCCATCTAAAATCAATTATTGAAGAGACCGTTAGTTGGACTTTTATTCTTCTTTTAATGTCTTGCTATCTCACTTTTGGAAAGTAAGGCGTTTAATAACGTTAAACCTAGTAAACGCATAAAAATTCTACCTATACCCTAGAACAAAACTTCATTTATATAAAGTGCATGGGAATTATAAAAATCTAAAGCAAATTTCCAACAAATGTTTTGTGTATAAGCCAATTGGTGAGGGGGGCTTGATGATTTGCAAGAGTTTCCGCGTGGAAAATAATTGAAAACCTCAGGGAATTCGTTCTGATCGTTTTGTTTTAAATCCTAAGAACTGTTGCATTGAGGCAACGTGTGCGTAGTCTGCCAGGAGCATTGAGATAATGCGAAGGGCAAGATGGGACCACAAGATAAAAAAATCAATTTCAGAGTTATTTTAATACCTGTGTATCATGAAATGTTCGTTATAGCATAGTATAAAGATGTCGTAGGTTTCAGTATCATGCAATTTCACATTAAGTTACTATAGGCATGATAACGAAACTGCAGGTAATCACGAAGATTAATCTCATGTAACAGAAAACTAAATCTTTTTCTGTCTTTGGGAAATTTGGCCTGCAGTCCTGAACAGTAAGCTAGGAATCTATTCTCCCCAACGGTAGATGCCATCATTAAACTCATATAGTGAATGTGCACGAGAGAGAGAGAGAGAGAGAGAGAGTTAAATCAGTTAAACGAATAAAACTTTTAAAGAGTGACTACTTTGTTTCTTTGATTTGTATTTTGTCACATAAGAACACGTAGCACCTTCAGTTCACGTCTTACCGCCAGCGAGAAATACACAAACAAAAACTGGCACATTCCTGAAGTCAAAAATAAAAAAGGAAACAATAATGACGGCTGTGTGATACCCTAGGGGGTAGCAGCTTTGTGAAAGTGGAAACCATGGTGACGGGGTCTTCAAAAGTCACTTCCCACCTGCATGGTGTGTTGACCCTCTATATAAAGACGCAGCCGTAAATTTACATTAACAGTTGTTCTTAGGGTCGTCGTTTTAACCCAAGTAACATAACCCTGTCCTTTTAATAGTTAGAACTGCTACCATACCACTTGTTTGTATGGTGGTCGGATAAAGTATGGAGGGTTATCAGGGCTCAGTGAGATAACGTACTGCTCCTGTGAAATACAGCGTCCAGCACCTACAGTATTCAGTGTATAGGCCCAAGTTGCAGGTGCATTTAGCCTTAAGGGTTAACTGGCGTTGACATAAAGTACCAATATTTGGCTATTGTGATATGATCCACACTTAATCTGATAAAAATCGTAAAGAAATGTTGACATATTACCAAACGCCGCCTGGTCAGTGAACTAAGGGGCTTATAAATATATTCACAGTTTTAACCCCCAGTTTCTTCCCACTGCCTTTCGTAGTCTCTTAACTGTCCGAATTTACTTGATGCAGACTGCATTGTTCTTTACAGCTGGTCCTTACTTTTAGGAAATTATGAAAACTGTATGCACTTTCTCGTCATTGTCTCTGATAATATTTGTTATGAAACGACGTAACAGATCAATGAAGTCTCATCTTTGCGTGGCATTTTCTTGAAGTTGAAGTTCATCGATTTTACTCTCGATTGCCTTAAGCTTTGACCCTAACTCTGTTTTCCAATCGTTCAAACTTTTGGTATTATTATTGTCACTGAACAGTTGTAGTAATTCCTCCAGCTCAAACTGCAGCTCACCGGCATCCTTCAGAACATTGTCCAGTTTCGACCCGAAATCCTGAAATTCCTGGTTCATGGTTCTAATTTCATTGAGGAAGGGTGTCGCATCTTGAGAACCTTGGTGGACCAGCTCGCTGTGTGACATTGAAGAAGTTCCGGGCACAAACTGAAATGTGAAGTGACACTTTGATACAGTATCGGCACTTGACCCGATTTTACGTGGCTACTAAACGAGGAAATCCTGTGCAGAGCACACTTATCAGCTAGCCGCTATCGTCAAACTGACACCAACTCTGTTAAATATGTTGTAATATACTAAATATGCAGATCTGTCTGAATAAATGGCTGCAGAACCCTGTACTGCTACATTCATCTACCCGGTCTCCTATTAATGATCTGATGATAAACAATGCTCTGAGCGTTCTCTTGTAATACATCAGATGTTGGCTAAATAGGCATGCGCTTTTAACAGTGCACACATTTATTTATCTAATGGCTTCCGTCCAAAATTAGATTCGTCTAATATCAAATTACTGAATGTGGTTGCCTGGAAAAATGAATTTGAGAAAAATCGATGCTCATCACAAAACTTTGTTTTTTTAGCATCGCCTGAAGTATCTTCACCAAAATACAATTTGACCTACAGACAGTATAAATACTACCTGTCATCCTCACGCCTGCATTCTCTGTGTGTTACATATAGATATACTTAGGAGCTTGAACTGATAACCCGTAGATAGAGAATTTCAATTATTGGGATATCTCTGACAAAATATAGCACCAAAACAGCTGTTTAATAAATCACGTGGATCTTACCGTCACGCCTTCTTTTCGGTAGAACGAAATATATATCTCCGCTGATGTGTCCTTTTTCAAAGAGAATGAGCGTACCATGGAACTCTTTAGTGTTAGTGTGAAAGTCAACACCTATAGAAATTCTCGGTCTAGATGACACCTCAATACTTTTCACATCTCGTTGATGACAGAAAAATCTATATCACCGAGTCACAACTTCGTCAAATATTTACACAAAACAGGCACAATTTCAATACCAGCTTATCGCGGTTCTCTAGCTGTTTAAAATATAACACAAGCAAACACTTCAGCTCGTTTAATCCTATGTGCTCCCGACACACACGCTCCGTAGGCCTATAATTATGGAATCATTCTGGCATGCATATGACCCGACTTCGTACCATTTTTTCATTAGTATTCTCTTCCCTAAGATATGTAGACGTATATCTCTTTAAATCTATAACCAATTACTGACTAAAACCACCCATTTACACTGCTCCGTACGTATGGCTTACGCACCTGGCAAAATACGTAATAGCCCTCAGCAATGGTTTCCTGGCGTCAGCTTGTTATTCCACGTGTATTATGCCCGCATTTCAGAAACTGGGAACAGTAGGCAAAACTGCACAAATGGAAGGCTGTTAAACACTGCTGTACCTTGTAGTTGGAGTGATTTTCTTGATTTATGTCACACAAAACGTTGTGGTCTAGCGTCTCATTATGACACCAAACAAGCGCTCCGTGGTAACCGCCGGTGATAAAGATGTCTCAGGTCAGTGAGAAGAGACTTGGCCTTTGTTTTGTGGTAAGGGACACGCACAATAAAACTGCGGTCTAGGGCAGATACATAGCTTTCTTGTACTAAATACGGATATATCAAGCTTTGATTATTTTCATACAATGCCATGTATATATATGAGAACCCGCATAGAGGCCTACACGTGGGTGTGCATAAATGGATAGGGAAGGGGCGATGCATTAGTTGTGCCAATAAGATGTGGAAAAATGCATTTTCTTTTCTTATTATATTTGAAATGTACTGGCATTAGCTAGGAACCACATATTCGTTATTCTATCTGAGTGGTACCTAATGTATTTTGCTAAAAATGTGTAGATTAGGAAATCATTTTTTAAAAAAGCGATAGTTTTATGGTTATTGGTGCTGTGATAGCCCCATACCAGAAGGAATTAACCTGCACTGTATGTTATATCGAAAGATTGATTCTTTTCTGCTTTTCTTAAACTCATCTTTTTCAAGATCCTAGCTTATTGCACACATAAGGCCTTTTAAATGAACTAAGGCACAGAATACATGTGCTACACGTATGTCATTAAGAGTCCACAATCTCATTTACTCAGTATCGTAGGTAAGCTAAAGCTGCACGTGCGTTTGCATTCATCAAGCGTCTTTATCACAAAGCACTTTTTACCATTTTTCGATTGTCGTTAAAAAGCAAACGCCAAGATCAAATGACTAATTTTATTATTAAACTGGTATTATTTAATCACCACAGCACCAAGAACGTAACTTCTTTAAAATAAATGATTAAAATGAAAATAATTAATTCTGCTAACAATTAAAGGGTCTTTGCCAGCAGCTGCTTGGAAATAGCGAGACAAATTCTCTGATCTATAGGTCAAAGCGTACAAGCTGTCTTACTCGAATGATTTTATAAATTACCCCAGCTTCACATCGCCCATTATAGATGTTATGAAAACGTTTATTATCCAAAATCTAGAACCGCTTTAGTGACTTTGGTCAGGGACATAGTAGAAAACACCTCTCATTTTTCAAATTACGCAACGTCTTGCTTTCTTTGCCTACGGGATTTATCTGTCTATATTCACAATTTTCCGCCCCCACAATTTGAAAAAATAAAATGGGCATATGCTGGGCTCTCTTCTTGCCCACACTTTTAAACATAGATAAAAGCATTAGAACAAAAACTTCAGTCCTGTCTAAAACTGACCACAATGTATCTGGTCAATAAATATTTGCTGGTTAAAATTCTTAGCACAACAAAATTATTAGATCATTACATCCAAACCGATAAAAATTGAGCAAATATGAGGTTTTATAGTGAATGTCATGTTATTCTTGCAATATTTCATGATAAGTCTCATCTTTCGCAATAGGGCACTGTATACTGTAACATTTTTTCTTGAGATTTATTTAGTTTCAGAATGGGACTTTTTGTGTCGGTTCGCAATCGTCGCATCTCGTCTGCTTCGGCTTTCTCGGCGGTCCGTGTTCTCTGTCTCCTCATAGATAGGGGGCGCACGTTATCTTCACTCATGTGCTCAAAAAGTGCTCGTATATCGGCGGTTATTTCCCTGAAAGGAGAAGAAAGCTGTGTACTTTGGTTCGTGGAATGCAACAAAACACTTCGCTTAGCTGTCTTCCAGAGTATCCACACAAATAAAATAATGGTACTTGTCAAACTTTTATAAAACTTTAATTCTTTTTGTTGATGTAGTGCACATGACCTCACAGCAAAATTATGGCAAAGAGATATTCTAATGACTACATTAACTTTCCTTACCGGTTGAGGGCGTCGTACAATGTTGGTAAGAGAGGAATGGTGTCCATGGCTGCAACCCGCTGTGCAACTTTACTAAGAGGTCTGCGGGACCAAAAGTTTGGATCTTCGGACATTAGTTGCTGTGAAAGATAAAAAAGATCATGAACCATAAAAATGAAAGTTTACTCAACGAAAGCATACATAGTCCTACATGTATACTCCTTGCTACTCTTACAGCAGCAAAAACTGCAACTGCCCCTGATGAAAATTCATCTGTGTAGTCTGTTGATTATCTTATGACATGTTCTTTTAACACAATTCACAGGCTAAGGCAAGTGAATGCATTTAATACTTGTTGCTGCCGATCCGCGTTTTTACCAGCACTAGAATGTTTGAACCCCTGCTCCATCTTCTATGCTGGCTGTGTGTGTGTGTGTGTGTGTGTGTGTGTGTGTGGGAGGGGGGGGCAGGGGGGGGGAAGGGACCAGTAATTTTGTCTTCTTCTTCTTCTATTATCTAAAAATGTATCCTTGCCAAACCTGAACCCCCACAATGGGCAACATATAAGATACACCAATGCTGATGCAAAGACCGTGCATAAGGAACTTTTACTTTAAATAACAGTGCTCTTACCCTAGTTGCTGGGTCGATGTCCTCCTTAACGCCGCCGTACTTAACGTAAGCGTCACGCACGTGAATAAAACGTGGCGGGAGTCCCTGGGTTTGCATTATCAGGGAGTACGCCACCTGTAAAATAAGACGTCAAATCAGTTTTCGATACTGAATACAGTGAGGTGGGTCTACCTTCAATTCAAGTTATGAACAAACGTCGTCTTGAAACTGTTTCATTAAATCATCACTTCATCCAACACTGATATTGTATGTACGTTTTATGAACAACCTCATCATTTTAAAAATATGTAAATGAATGAATAAATGAGTTATTGAAAATAACAGTATTGAAAATATATCGGATCCTAGCTCGCACTTGGCAGCATCGGAGAAACATTCCTTCTTTTGAGCTTCTAGGATGTCTCCTAATCTCTTTTTAATTGAAAAGGGCCGGTTACATTTTTGCATTGGATCCGCAGGTGACAAGTTAGATGTACTTTAATTTTGCTTAAAAAAGAATAGCTAAATAAGCCGAGGAACCCTTGTCAACAATTTGTCTCATCTAAGTTGTTTATTTAATGGCCTTGATGAGTACTGCTTAGCAAAAAAGCCAGACCAGAAAACTATCTATCTATTATTCCTTTCATGCGCTCCACGTAAAAACTCCATTGAGTACATAGGAATTTAATGAAATTGCTGAAAAACTGTTCACGCGCACTTATATAGTTCCTTTAAAGTCAACAAAACACGGCACACACTTAAAACTACTTAACGACACGAAAAACAGGTTACCTGTGTGTCAAATACGTTTTGTATCCGCACCCCAAACTGCCTTCGAAGAGCGAGGTTAAACTCGTTGCCGTCGTGTAGTACCTAAAATCAGGAGAAAAATTCTTAAAATACGATTAAATTGAAATCACTGATATAATTTTGTTCAATACACACAATTCTTTTTTTTCTGACATAAATGTGGAGAGTTTTTGTATCCTCAAAAAGGATGCCACTATAACTTTTTTCTATCTCAGTGACTTAATAAAAAACGTTGTTTACTCTGATTGGAAATATATCAAAGATTTCCAAACTTTGATTAGGACTTGACGTTGGCATATTTGTTGTTTGATCTTATTTCATTTACTGAATAGAGCCATAACAGACGTCACCACATGATACAAAATAAACCAACCAATGCAACCCCATCATCACAAGATAAAGTCAAGACAGTACCTTTTTTAATTCCTTTGACTGTAGCACACGACCCACTCCTCCGCTGATCATCAAATCTCTGTTTTTTCTGATGTCAAAGATGAAAACTTCTCCATGCAATGTGACAACTGTCACCAAAGTAATTGTCTCTGGAATTGGAGTATAAGTTTTTTAAAAAGCGTCTATAAAAATTAATGTGCATTCCGTATCAATTTGTTAATACATGTAGGAACGTTATATTACATCCAACATGAAAAGGGGGGGGGGGGGGTATCTGCACAGGTGAGAAAAGATACACTCTGTGGTCCACAGAGACACGTATCACATACCTAAATCTTCCCTAAATTGCACAATTTAAAAAATCTATAGCCCAGCCACCACCTCCCCTCCCGCCGAAAGTTGTAAGCTACTACATCTTTTGGAGAAAAGTGGAGGATTAATTTTTAAGTTCGCTCCTCTAGAAATCTTGAATACACCGGTGATACGAATTTATTCTCTTTAAAAAAACATCCATTATTTTAACAGAATGGCTTTAATTAATACATGTGAAAATGTATTTTGAAAGGATTGTACATGGATTTCCTTCCCATTCGACATTGTAAGAATAATTGTGATCATTTGTTTTAAACTCCCAAACGCTTACCTAAGTTATTGAATGGGACTCCTTTGCCGCTCACCCCAATGATAGGAGGATCCAACATCAATATTCTTCTCACTACATCGTTGGCAACTGACAACTTCGTTATCACTTTAATTTTGGTGTACATGGCACTAAGATGAACAGCCGGATGCTGCAATTACCAAAGAGAATAATAAAGAAAACACGGGTTGCCTTAAAACACAGGTGCAACGCAAAAACTCAATTAATTTTAACAAACGATTAGTGTGATGGGAAGGTAAACAGTTTCTGTGGCGGCCGAAGAATGGAAGAGCCAATGTACCCTTGGCGAGTGATTCGGTTTTGTTTGGACCCGTTTTTAGAATAAGAGAAGAGAGAAAAGTCCAAAGCGTCAATTCCACTGGTTATTTTTTCTCTTTTAATACTCAGAAATCAAATGATAAAGACACATTCAATGTCACCAAAGTTCACGTGTATTAGCATTGTTTTGTGACACATTGAATAATGTCGTCATCACGAACACAGCTTGAATCCATCACTGGCTGGGTGTAGAGTGACAGTTTACATTTCCTGCATTACACAAAGTGTGTGGAAACAGTAGTGCCGTTTGATACAGATGGCGTGATTCATACAAACTAAGAGAAAAGAACCAGCAAAAACGGGTCCAGACCAATAAATCTTAGCATCCCCTATATGCCAGACTTTTATAAAACTGGGCTGCTTCAATTGATCAAAACTGATCTTGTTATTCACTAAGGCTGTTTCAATAGAGGGAATATAACATGCACCTGTCACAGTATTGCATACAAATGATAATTATCTTAACCCATCAATTGCTAAGATGAGATATTAGTGAACCAGTTCATAGTTTGAAGTGAAAAAGGACACAATCCAGATAGGGAACAAATTTTAAGCTACAGTCATTAGAGCTAGGGTTGTGGTCTGGTGTAGGCCTACATATCAAGACACAACTCTCAGGAAATATAAGGCCTACGAAACACCTAGATATTCAACTCTCATATAAGCCTATATATGCAAAACTGCTGTTGCACAAGAGATACCGTAGAGTGTGAAACACTGGTTTAGTTTGGGTAATTATGGAGCTAAATACCCGAAAAAATATCAAATTGCTTTTGATCGTGTGCCAAATATTTGAAATTGATTTATACATGTTCTCTAATAGCCACTTCATTTTTTTTCATCTCTTCTATTCTTTCTAGATATAGGCCTACAATACTTCATTCTCTTTTAAGACATGTATAGGCCAACTAGACAATACTTTTTGGACCAGAGTACTTTTAAGTTATTTTATATTAAAATATCTAAGGTGTCAGCTGATTCGCTCAGGGTGTCACAGACACCCCCCTATATTCTTTAATGCACAATTTCAACAAATCCTAACAGCATTTATGTTTTTCAGACCTATCTCGATAAATTGTACAGAGAAAATGGGATATCATAATCGAAAACGTGGTAAAACACACATACTGTACCTATTCCACGTATCCTTATACCATCCCGTGGTAGACTCTAGGAAAGTAACAGCGACTGTTGGCCTAAACCTCAGAGACCGCTCTATTCTGTTTACTTCAATAGGTTACTGCCAATACAGTGAAAACTGGGCTACTTTTACACTTGGGTCGATTCTAATTAAATATTCAATACAGGCACAAAAAGCACGCAAGGTGCTACTTTGATTTTGATATACAAAGGTCCCTTGGGTGTTTGCATTTCCCCTTTCAAGCCAAATGACACGTCAATAATGAAGTCTAGATGTTATCGGGATTGGACGCAATAGATTGAAGGTTGGCTATTTGGTCGCTTAGAGATGGTAAACAGAAGAGGATTCCAGTCTCCACGACTGGAGAACGCACAACTAACACAGTGGAGGCAAAGAAATTGTGTGGGCCGATCTATGTACACACTGATCTGAACGTTAGGATGTCACATATGTAAGAAAACAATGAGTTATGCTGCCATACAAATACACGTGCGTCTTGGTTTAATAAATACTTGTATCTTACACTGCTAGGTCTATTAGAAAAAAGTTTTATTCATTAAAAGTTTTATTTCCACAAAAAAGTTTTGATACACAAAAACTTCTTTAAACATTTACTTTGAGCTTTTTGGTCAGTTTTTTAAACATTTACTTTGAGCTTTTTGGTCAGCTTTTGGTCAACTTACAGACATGGCCAGTAAATAGTCTATAAATAACCTTTGTTGATTCTGATACATCATATCTGTGCTTTTACAGTAGTCGACATTACTGAACCTTCAGTTGAGAAACTGAAGGTAGATAGTAGGTAGAAGATGTAAGAAGAAAGATAGCCAGAAAATGCTTTCGGGGTTAAAAAACATTGTGAAGCTAATCAGCACTTAACACCACTTGTGCTGCAGGTCCTAGAGCTGTTGTGTCGGTAAAATAAAACCAGATAATTTAATGAACTGTAAAATACCTATTTAAATTAATAACTCTAGGAACATAGACTAAGAACATAGAGGTAAGAAGAATACCTTAACAGAACAAAGATATCATGAGCCAAGACAACACTGATAAACTAAAATAGACATTTACTATGACTAACGCTAACACACTTTGCATTGTTCATTTAATATCCTTTTAAAGGATAAATTATATGGTCTAAACTTAGCTGACAAGCATCTTACTGACTGTTTTTGGCCAATTTGACTATTGAAATAGTTTTAAACTGCAGAAGAATCCTGTTCACCATTTCGAAAGTATAAATACTACAAATATACTCCAAATCATAGTATTTCTACGCAAATGCTACAGTAATGTAATTTTTGTTGCAAATTTCATAAATATTAACTTTAAAAATCTATGGCATTTTTCTTGAAATCAATTGTGTAATAGTAATGGATCAGCGCATGAAATATACAAGACCATTACAAAGAAATTCTTAAGTTTTCCATCAAATGATGATTTGACATACAGTTTAATATCAAGAGTTTTTCAAGAGTCATGGAAGACAATGTATAAATAAGAAAAACACCACGTCTTATTCCTAGTGGTGAACTCCTGATCTCCCAGAGAATGGGGACTATCTGCAGAGATAATGTTGGAAGGTCTTAGAAAACTGTGTCATTTCCCCTTGAACTTGGCATATTATTCCACGTTCATGGCTCAGGAAGCACCTAATCTGTGTGATTGTTACTTTTTACTTTTGTCTTTTTACTGTAAATGGCTTCAGTAAATGGCCTGGAAAAAAAGGAGAAACTTAAGTCATTTAATAAGAAAATTTAACTTTTCTTACTGACATTTATAATTTAGTTCTTACACAAATAGGTTTACATTTTTTTTCATTTAATAATGTGCCAATAAGTTCCATAACACATTTGTTATAAGAAATATAAGGAAGTAGAAAAACCTTGCGTGTGAGCAAATACACACAACAGTTTCATATCCATTTTGTTATTAATAAAATGCTCAAGCTTTTGCAGCATTTTTGGGGGGCTTATTTAAATGAGACTTACCCTTCAAACATGATAACAATCTTGTAAGACACAGCAACCCAGAGAGTGAGCAACAGACCTGCATGGCTAGCTTGTCTGAAAGACATACATTTAGATTTTATGTTCTTGCTTAGGATTTGGCCTTTTCCCCCACAAATTCCAAACTGGATTAATTCAGTTCTGTTCTTCATTTCCATTAATAAATGTGCCACCACCTAACAACACAGCAATGATTACACACGCCTGCACATTTTAGTTTCACCAGAGACATTTTACTGCAATGTTATAATTTCCACAAAGAACCACCAAAAACCAGAAACATCCATAGGTTCCTGGTAGGATGTAAAACAAGTGCTTAAGGTAATTTACTTTTAAAAAAAATCTAAATAAATAGCTAAATAAAAAGAATAACTTTAAATTTTGTATAAGATTTTATGAAAATTACTTCTTTGACTAAAACAAAACAAACACATGCCAGGAATCACTTACATAAGAGCTACACCAAAGAAATTCATTGTAGATCCCCAATACATGGGGTTGTCCATTATGTTAAACGGGAAACTGGTCACTTTTTCATCAAGCAAAATGCCAAAATAATCTCCTACAAAATAAAAATAGAGATATTGAACATTCATATGGTACATATATTCAAATTGGCATAAACAATTACAATGGTGCATTTAAAAAGATATTAAATTACTATGTTACAACCTTTACATCGAGCAATTAATCCAGACCAACACACACACACACACACACACACACACACACACACACACACACACACACAAAAAAAAAAAAACAACAAAAAACGGATAGCCTCATTCCCTGATGAAGATATTCTGCTAAACATCGAAACACTGGAGGTAAAAACTACTTCAATATTAAGCTGTTGACTGAAGAAAAATCACTTCATTCAGTCACATCAGAGTTTTGTTTACTAAAACAATCTCAGGGCTGGATCAGGAAGACTTTACAAACTTCACCAAAAATTTACACCAACCTAAAAATGTCCCTGTGACTCCCAAAGTGAAGAAGCTAGTCAACACCAGCATGCTCCCTACTAGTACAGAGACATATCCTGACCAGAGAATCCAGTTACTAAATAACTCGGGGGACTTGGGCTGACTTTGAAGAGCTAGTCTGTACCTAGAAACAAGATAATTTGTTTTGTTAATGCTTTCATGTGTTTGTTAATTAAAGTCATCTCTGGGACAGTTTATTTTCTATGTTGACGCTTACATTTCATTTTCAGTTCGATCTTAAAAAATAAATTCTTTATCTATAAATATTTATGCAT